ACGCGAAGAACCGAGACACATTACGGTCGACTTACTGAAGCCTGCACGATGTGTAAAGACAGACCAATAAAATGTAAAATTATGACAATTATGGTGTTCAAGCTCTGGGGAAGAGCTGCGAAGATTTGAAGGAAATTAATCTAGCCACTAACGTCTCGATATTCGCAGAACCGGATAGCTGTGTGAATCGAGTGATTATGCAAACAGATACCGCAATAAGATCAGCTGGTGGAAGTGGAGCTGACTGAAATTAGTGCTATTTGCACGTTAAAAAATATTTATAAAGGAAAAAACTAGCCTGGCCATCTTCTCTAAGACCAGCGTATTTCTCGTCAAAGACAAAATACATAAGCAGGATCCCACAAATGTTGATAATAGCTGCTAGCAGAGCAGGTGCTTTGTACATTGTCAATGACCAACCGAGAATAAGATGAACGCCATCCTCACCCAGGGGTGTAAACAACGCTTGTAAACCTCAAATATTTCCAAAGATCGACAAGTTTGTGTGGCACAGCAAATCAGTCACAATTATCTCCGCGCCCCCAGGTCAGATTTAATAAACTATGGAGATATATTGTTCAATTTATTTTATTTACAAGTTAATATATCTAGCGAAGTTTTTAAACTGAGCCCTTTTAGAAACTTCCCAAAAATTCTTGGTAAATTAACATTTTATAACTTTGTAGCTGAAGGAATGTAAAAAGCTACTTAGTAGACTTCAAACACAAAAGGCGTACTTACCTGGACCTATCACCAATCCAACAGCGGTACCGGCGGCCACACATCCTATAGCTCGGGACCTATCCGCGGACGTTGAGGTTGTGGATGCAAATGCTCGCAATAGCACAGAATTGCCTTAAATGATTTGGTGCCAAATTATGATGTTTTCCAGTCACCGTTTTAGTGATTGATACTATGGTTTTTTGGTAGCGATCGATTCTGTGTAGACATCTTTTGAAATTTTTTTCTTTACATTGGCTATTGGAAAGAGCTTAATCCTTGTCTAAGCTCTGCTGCTGAGAGCAGAGCTAAAGAGATGCTAATATGCAATACGCCATCTCAATAGATTTCCTAAATTGCAATATATTTAGTCTGCGGTATGTCAGAAGAAAGAATGTGGCGAAATTTCGATGTGATCATATTGCAGCGCTCACAATGACTGAAGGATATAATTACCGTAGCTATAGCACCACTGATTGTCTGATACAATATTAGAAACACGGAAATTGACGGGGATTTTTGAGCAAACTTAAAGGAACGAAATAGTTGAGTGCCTATTAGTTTTGGACGCCTTTCTTT